AATATAATCAATATTCAGTGGTAAGATTGATTAAAACAACTTATGCATTCATGCCTTGTGATAGCATGCAACCAAGAAAAATTATGTACTTAACTATTTAACATTATGGAAAGATAGTAACAGATTTTCATTAGAAAAAAGTTATAAAACAGCTGAATGGAATGACTCTCTGTCTAGAACAAGGGTGGGGATCATTTGGTCTGGCCCTGCGAAGGCATTAGGAGTGAGTTAATTAAAAATTTGACCAAATATAGCAGGCTAATTTTTAAGTTGATAGTTTTGTATGGCTCACATATATTATAAATATCCAAATGGCCCTTGGCAGAAAAGAAGTTCCCACCCCTGCTAAAGAGAGAGAGAGAGAGAGAGAGAGAGAGAGAGAGAGAGATTATTTTTAAGATAAGAAAAATAATTAAAAGCATGCTAGAGGTCAGGATATAGAATAGCAAGTGATAATTATTCTTTGGTAAATCTTGTCTATGAAAGGAAGTAGAGTAGGGTCTTAGTAGCTAGAGTATATTATAACCAATGTAGAAACAGCATATATAAAATGCTTAACAGAGTCCTGCAACAACCCAGGAGGCTTCCTATAAATGAGGCCTGTTATTATTACTACTGCTATTATTACTACTACTGTTATTATCATCATCAAAATTTTTTCCAGCCTCAGACTTGACTACCAACTCAACTCTACTGAGTCACCAAGGTCAAGAACTAAAAGAAAAAATTTAAATAGCAAGCATTCTAGGAAAAAGTCTTTAGTAGAGCATTCTGGACAATGTTCCTGGTGGTCAGGGCAATGTCCAGAGCTAATTATATATAGGGTCTGCCTCAGGACCAGAGAAGATAAGACCCAAGTTACCAGACATCTGTAAAGTAGCTAAGATAAGAAAGGAAAAATTGCTTTAAGATCCTTCTTCTCACCTGTCATTTATAAAAACTTGTTTTTGTATCTAACCACTTGGGCTACAAATGTTCTGCTTTATCTCTCAGATAGTATAGATTCTAAACAGGTTTATGAGTTATATCTGTCCTATAATGCATCCTCCTGTGCTAACCATCTTACATAGTCAGGAAACTCACCTTAAGCAATTAATGGCATGAGCACAATAAAGCTAATACAATTAAAATCATTTCAATTAGCCACTAAAATAATTTTGAAGGCCTATTTTTTTTTAAATTATATAATTTTGAATTTCTGATTTCTTGGTTTGTATGCTGGACTGAGATATTAAAAGTAATAATAAAATCTCAGAAAAACCTGCAGCCATGGTTCTCATCCAAGAATACCAAAAACAAAACTTGGTGACCTTAGAACTTTGTCAATTTTATTAATTATATTTAATTTTTTGGTTTTTTTTAATTGATTGATGAGAGAGAGAAACATCGATTGCTTGTTTCATTTATTCATTGGTTGATTCTTGTATGTGCCCTGACCAGAGATGGAACCTGCAACCTTGACATATTGGGATGACACTCTAACCAATGGAACTACCCAGCCAGGGCCTTCATAATTATATTTTTTTTAAATTGTGTCTGAACCAGTTATATCATCAAATTAGAGCAGTATGAAAGTAGAAGTTCCTATAATTATAATTTGTTTTTTTTAAAAAGGACTTGAAGTGAAATGAAAACAACTTTAAAAAGAAACTCAGAATATAGTGTGCTTCAGAATATAAGTTCAAGGTAGCATTTAAAGAGGAGTTAAGTTCAGATGTAACTTGCTTCAAGTTTTGAGTCAGTGACCCAACCAGTTAGTCACTGTGTTAAAATTTTAGCCCAAGATAATAAGCCTTTCCAGGTCACCTAAACTCTCTAGATATCTGTCTCCATATTTGAAAGAAACACAGCCATGTTATCTAAACAGTCAATTCTAACAATTTCAAAGTTCAGGTGGATATTTAACACACACGAGGGATTTATCACTACATTAGTGGTTTGCCACAACTCCATAACTAAGCCCCCCACCTTCCCTGTCCCCTTTCTTCAGCTCGGTCACCCCATCCTAGTCTATAGACAAACAAGCTCTCCAATCTAATTCTTATCAAGATGGAAACAAGGCCAGACCTGCTCTTCTAGATAAAATGCTTTGGCTTCTAACTGCCTGGCTGCTTATCTCTCATCTTGCAGTGTTAACCATAACCCCTTTCCTGACCTGCTCTACTTCTTGTTTTCAGATGAGCAATACGGACTGGGGGAAAAACATGCTTAAATGGACAATTTCACTCTCTTATGTCCCCTCTGTTCCTTTTAAAGTCTGTTCAAACCTCTTCATGTTCAAATTCTCTTTCTAAAATGACCAGAAATCAGGGTGCATAGACAACATATAATTTAATTTATCTCCAAGTCTCTCTTTTTCATCCTTTACTCTTCCTACTCTACATCATCTCATCTATATTTCAGTTAACATTTCCTGTTGATTTTTTGGCGAAGGGGGGGTTGGATTGTCAGAGGAATAGCAGAGTTGGTGGGGGTATTTTTCTACTTTCCTTTTGCCTGCCCTAGTCTTACCTATTAAGCTGAATCATTTTGGCTAAGCTGTTTGGTTTGGCTTACCTGAATTCCTGTGTTTTCATCCAAACAAAGCATTGCACTTCCCTGCTCTTTCCTGAGCAGGTGAAAGTTAATGCAGTATAGGTCTGGAGTAGTCAGGCGATGTTTGGGCTAGCTTGCTAGGTGAGGTGAACTGGGCACTACCCTTCTTGACCTTTTTTTTCTTTTTTTTTCTATACATGAAGTGAAAAGAAAAAAGCTAGTATCCTTCTATTCCTGAGAATTCTAGGAAACTCAGTTCTTCTAGTGTGAAATAATTGTGGAGTTGCACTGTGGGAGGTTGTACAGGGCCCCAGTGTTGTAAGCACCGTGGTCTGGTGATGACACCTTTACCCCACACGGACTCAAGTACCTGAACCTGCCTGTCCTTGAAAACTTGGGAGTCTCTCCAAAAGAACTCGCGAATCTTGGAAGAAAGTCATTCTACTACTTCAACTCTGCTGATGGTTCCTTTTTCTTAATTTTCACTTTTTAATCTTTATAAAATATCTACATTACACATCAGAAAATTATCTCATAGGTGAGCTGCTCTGATTTAGGTCTTAGTTTAGAAAAGATCAAATCTGCAAATATACTGCCTCTTTCCATTTTTCATGTTCTTCAAGCAAATTAGGAATCTAATTGATCCTTTAAAGCCAGTTTTTTTTTTTAGCTGTGTCAATATTATTAATATTGGGAGGGAAGTATCATTGAATTCAAATGTTAAAATACATATTGTATGCTTACTATGTATAAAGTATTTTGTTAGGTGCTAACGGGAAAAAGATAAATACCTGCCTTTTAGAGACTTGAT